CCGTCCTTTTGATATTTGAATCGGAGAGATAAGTATGAAATTATTTGATGCTACGATGAAAACGAATTTAGATTTCATCCGATATCTAATTCTTTCAAATTTATTGTAACATTAGGTTTTTCACCTTAGACCGAACTCATTATAAGTGATTTATCAAATCGAAAATTACAATATATATATATATTAAGAAAAATCTGAATCTGATATAAATATGAACCACATAACTGTCAATGGGGTTAGCTGACTGAATAGGGACTTGGATGGACTGTTGCTGTACCAATTATGGAAGATTTAAGAAATCACATTTTTTCATTTGAAAACATCTACAAATAACTTTTTAATGTAAGTGGAAGGAAGATGGAGATAGACTGATAGGATCGTAGGAGTAAACCCTAACGGTAGAGTTACAATAAGAATGAGCTGTAAATTTNCATCTACAAATAACTTTTTAATGTAAGTGGGAGGAAGATGGAGATAGACTGATAGGATCGTAGGAGTAAACCCTAACGGTAGAGTTACAATAAGAATGAGTTGTAAATTTAAATATTTTAAGTTTAAATTTTGACAAATTCATCAGACCAGATCATGAAAGATTTATTCCTTGTACATATCCTAATCTCAGGATAAATGATTTATNCAGATCATGAAAGATTTATTCCTTGTACATATCCTAATCTCAGGATCAATGACTTACTTTTAACTGGACAAAAAAAAAATTAGTTAAAGTGTATATAAATTGACTTAAATTTGATCAACAAATTCATTGAAAGACAAAAGGCATATGTATAGCCAGAGAGAGAAGAATAGATGGAAAGAGAGAGAAAGAGAGACAAAGGTAGAGCCTTTTGTTTATGATTTTTTTTTGCTTGAGGATAATAAAATAAAGAAAAGGTAAAGGATTGAGGACAGACGATCACTTTATGTCCAATTCCATGCACAATAAGCTATAAGCACAGTTTTTAGAGATCCCACTCCAATAGTTTTTTTTTTCCCCCATGTTTAGTTTCTTTTAATATAATGTTTAAAATTGAATATATTAAGTATTTAATAAATTAAATCCGATTAATAACTTAAAACTCACACTACTTAATATTTTAAATACTTTTTAAAAATAAGTTATATTTTCTAAAAATATTAGTCAATAAAAACTTTATATTCCTCAATACATTTTGTACTCTTAGTTTTTCAATACTCACCACTATTGTGTCGTCACTATCATTATCATTGTGTTGTCGCCGTCACCATCTCCACCGCCACCATTATTGTGCCACCACTGCCATGATGGTAGGAACAAGGTAGTTAGGGTGAGACGATATAAAAAGAATGAAAAAAAAATTAGAATAATAATAATTTTTAAACTTGAAATTCTTATATTTGTCAAACAGTTTAATTCAATTCAATATTTAAATTTAAATTTAACATTCAATTTTTAATTATATCAAACACTACCTTAATTGACGGATTTTTCTTGTCACGTGTATTTTGTTTTTTTCCATCCTAATTTCTCCGAGGGGAGGGAAAAAGAATCCCAAACATGTCTGACCAAAAGTCACATCCACATGGATGAGGTGATATGAACGACGTCGTGTAGAGACGTTGTTTATGTACTGTTTGGCAATGCGTGTTGGGCCCAGGTGGAAAACTAGTCGCTAACAAATCACAAGTCCGTGGGAAAACCCCACAACGATGGTGATGGAAAATTCAAAAGAGACGGAAAAAGAAAGTCCCAAAAAACAAAAAGAAACCCAAAACCGAGGAAAAGAAAAAGCAGAAAAAGGAAAAAAAAAAGCAGAGAAAGCGAAATTAGAATGCAAGCATAGGAGAAGCATACAGACGTAAGTGCTTATATGTCGATATATGGGTCCACCAAATGATTTAAAACTTTTATTTTTTTAATATTATATTTTTATTAATTAAAACTAAGTAATGTCTAAAATGTATTAGGGTACTATTTTTCTAAAAATATTTTATTGGGAAATAAGAATAAATAAAATTTTTTGAATTTAAATTATTTATAATAATTAATAGTACAAATAATATATTTTTGTGGGTTAATATCACTTTACACTCTAAAAGTTTATTTGTTTCTTAATTTTCACTCTCAAATATTAAAAACTTCAATTTGTATCCTCATAAATCGGTAGTATTGTGGATCTTGTCTAGATTACAGTTCAATTTTTCTTTATAAATTGAAGCACTTGAGTTGTAAATTCTTCAGCCATAAATTTATGTATAACTTCACATACTGTTGTCACTTTATGTGAGTTGCATATGATATATTTTGCCTCTATTTGATTAACAAAATTTTATTTTTGATAAATAAAATGATGTCAAATTGATCGTAGACAAAGATTTATGGCAATGGATAGACTTCATTCTTACTTACAATTCATGTATTTCAATTTATAACAAAAAAAAACTGAACTGTAATCTGGGNGTTTTTCAATACTCACCACTATTGTGTCGTCACTATCATTATCATTGTGTTGTCGCCACCACCATCTCCACCGCCACCATTATTGTGCCACCACCGCCATGATGGTAGGAACAAGGTAGTTAGGGTGAGACGATTTAAAAAGAATGAAAAAAAAATTAGAATAATAATAATTTTTAAACTTGAACTTCTTATATTTGTCAAACAGTTTAATTCAATTTAATATTTAAATTTAAATTTAACATTCAATTTTTAATTATATCAAACACTACCTTAATTGACGGATTTTTCTTGCCACGTGTATTTTGTTTTTTCCATCCTAATTTCTCCGAGGGGAGGGAAAAAGAATCCCAAACATGTCTGACCAAAAGTCACATCCACATGGATGAGGTGATATGAACGACGTCGTGTAGAGACGTTGTTTATGTACTGTTTGGCAATGCGTGTTGGGCCCAGGTGGAAAACTAGTCGCTAACAAATCACAAGTCCGTGGGAAAACCCCACAACGATGGTGATGGAAAATTCAAAAGAGACGGAAAAAGAAAGTCCCAAAAAACAAAAAGAAACCCAAAACCGAGGAAAAGAAAAAGCAGAAAAAGGAAAAAAAAAAGCAGAGAAAGCGAAATTAGAATGCAAGCATAGGAGAAGCATACAGACGTAAGTGCTTATATGTCGATATATGGGTCCACCAAATGATTTAAAACTTTTATTTTTTTAATATTATATTTTTATTAATTAAAACTAAGTAATGTCTAAAATGTATTAGGGTACTATTTTTCTAAAAATATTTTATTGGGAAATAAGAATAAATAAAATTTTTTGAATTTAAATTATTTATAATAATTAATAGTACAAATAATATATTTTTGTGGGTTAATATCACTTTACACTCTAAATGTTTATTTGTTTCTCAATTTTCATTCTCAAATATTAAAAATTTCAATTTGTATCCTCATAAATCGGTAGTATAGTGGGTCTTGTCTAGACTACAGTTCAATTTTTCTTTATAAATTGAATCACTTGAGTTGTAAATTCTTTAGTCATAAATTTATGTATAACTTTACATACTGTTGTCACTTTATGTGAGTTGCATATGATATACTTTGTCTCTATTTGATTAACAAAACTTTATTTTTGATAAATAAAATGATGTCAAATTGATCGCAGACAAAGATTTACGACAATTGACAGACTTCATTCTTACAATTCATGTATTTCAATTTATAACAAAAAAAAACTGAACTGTAATATGGACGAGGTTCACATTATTATCAATACATAATATTGAAGGTACAAATTAATATTTTTAATATTTGAGGGTATAAATTAAGAATCAAAGAATCTTTTAGGGTAGAAAATGAGATTAGCCCTATTTTTATTAGACAATATATATATATATATATATATATATATATATATATATATATATATATATATATATATATATAATGCTAGAAAATAAATTCTTTCCTCCGCGTGATTTCTTTTGCTTTTTTTTTTTCTTCTCTCTCTACAGGAATCTTTGAAAATCAAAATGCTCAGCTAAAACAAAAAATAAATTATGAGAAATGTAAAATCCCGAAAAAGTTCACTTTTTGATCGGCACTCCAATTCAGAAAATGGGGAATGCGCCTAGAATTCAATAACCGAGCTTTTCTACCAAGGGTAAAAGAGTCTTTTCATCGAGGGTGGTCTTTATCTAAGTAAAGCATCCATCCAACGTTAAAGTCATATTTTCATAGACGAGATAAGATTTTCTCTTTCATTTCCTTTCATTTTTTCATTTTTTTTTTCAATGGTCAAGCTATTCGAGTCAATTTGTGCATACTTCAACTAATTTTTTTTTCAATTTAGTTAAAAATAGGTCATTCATGCTGAGATTAGAATATTTATAATGAATAAATCTTTTATAATCTGACTTCAAAAAATTGTTAAAATTTAAATTCAAGATTTATAAATTTACAACTCGTCCTTGTTATTATTTAAAAAGAGTTAAATCCATTATTTTTCTTTTAGCTCTCTCTCTTTCGTTCAATGTCAGTAATACAGACGTGGTATTATTAATAAATAATAAAATATTAAGTGTGCCAAGTAAACTTCACTTAAATAGTTATCTAGTTAGGAAAAATTACTTACGAAGAACTGATAAATATTTATTTACATAAAAGGTTGATTATTAATTATTATAAAATTTATTTATTTATTTTTTTTATATCAGCATTATCACATCAGTTGCAATGAATATATTTTCCTCTCACAGGCCTCTCTTCCTCACAAACACCACCCTAAAATTACAGTCTCTCTCTCTCTCTCACACACACACAAACACAAACACAAACACATACCCACTGGCCGTTGAGAAGAACCAAAGCTCTCTGACCATTCCCTCTCCTCATTTTCACAAACACACACACACACACACACACTCTCTCTCTCTCTTTCTCACACACACAGACACAGACACAGACACAGACACACCATCTCATTCTCTCTGTTACTCACACACATTTGTACTGGTTTTCTGTAGCATGAGCAGAGTACGCATTACACACCATAACTACCGGTTATGAATCCCATCACTGAAGCTCCCCCGCCACAACCACCGCAGGCCCACAGGTCCTCTTTCAGCTGCGACAAACACCCAGAAGAGCAATTCTCCGGCTTCTGCACTTCATGTCTCTGCGAACGCCTCACCACCCTAGATCAATCCTCCTCGGCGGCTGCTGCCTCATCCTCCCGCCGACCGTCCACCTCCTCCAACTCCGCAGCCGCCGCCCTCAAATCTCTCTTCAGCAAAATCCCCACCAACGCCGCCACTGAACCCACCATCTCCACCAAACACAAACCCCTCAACAAACGTTCATTCTTGGCCGAACTTCGTCGTACAAAATCCTTCTCCGCGTCCAAAAACGAGGGTCTTGGTTTTTCGGGCGTCTTTGAACCGCAACGTAAGTCCTGTGATGTTAGGGTTCGAAACACCCTTTGCAACCTTTTTAATCTTGACGATGAATATAAAAATAAACCACCGCATACTAACATTCAAAGCTTAAATCAAAACAATGAAAACTTCACCACCCACAGTTTAGGCCCGGTTTCTTCTAAGGTCACGGGACCAGTTCTCGAGTCCAAAGAAGAGGATACTGAAAATAGCGACAGTGATGATGACAATGACGACGAAATTAGGGTTTTAGAAGAACCCAATTATGTGTCAAATGTGGTGGAAGAAACTGTTCCCGAGATTGTTGATGAGAGTGTTGAGAATGATATTAAAAGAATGAAGGATCACATATATCTTGATTCGCAGATAAAAAAGAATTCAGGGATGGACTTGAAGGAAATTGCGGGGTCTTTTTGGTCCGCAGCTTCGGTGTTTAGCAAGAAATGGCACAAGTGGAGGAGGAAACAGAAGCTGAAGAAGATGAACGGTGGTGGGGATACTGTGGCATTGCCGGTGGAGAAACCCATTTCGAGGCAGTATAGAGAAACCCAGTCAGAAATTGCAGATTATGGTTTTGGAAGAAGATCTTGCGATACTGATCCTAGATTCTCGCTTGATGCGGGTAGGATTAGCTTTGATGATTCAAGGTATTCGTTTGATGAGCCAAGGGCCTCTTGGGATGGGTATTTGATTGGAAGGACTTTTCCGCGGCTTCCACCAATGGGTTCGGTGGTGGAGGATGCTCCTGTGGTGCATGTTTTACGGTCGGATATGCAGATTCCGGTGGAAGAACCCATCAATTGTAGAGATGAGGAGGAAACAGTGCCTGGTGGGTCGACTCAGACTAAGGAATATTATTCTGATTCTTCCTCGAGGAGGAGGAAGAGTCTTGATAGGTCTAGTTCTATAAGGAACACTGCAGCGTCTGTGGTGGCGGAGATGGATGAAATGAAGGGAGTTTCCAATGCAAAAGTATCTCCCGCAACCATTGATAATTTTCATGGAGGAAAGGTTATGGTTGGGGATAGGGATGTAAGGAATTCAAATTCGAATTCTTTGAGGGATGATTGTTCTGAGACTTTTGAGTTGAGTGGTTTTAGGGATATTGCTTCGGTTATTGAGAACGAGGAGAGAAAGGAGTTGAAAAAGTCACGCCGGTGGAGTTGGAATATTTGGGGGTTTATACATAGGAGAGGAGGGAACAAGGATGAGGATGAAGAGAGGTATAGTAGAGGAAATGGGGTTGACAAGCCTCTTTCAGAGGCTTGGCAAGAGTTGAGGAGGGAAAAGAATGGTGAAGTGAGAGGAGGGTTCAATAGGAAAAGTTTCCGCAGTAATAGCAGTGTGAGCTGGAGGAATACTTATAGCACTGGTGGATCATTTGGGAGTACAAGGAAATCAGATGCCGAGACGAATGGGCATGGTAAAACGAGGAGAGATGAATTTGTGTTGGAGAGGAATCGGAGTGCTAGGTATTCGCCTAATCACATTGATAACGGGCTCTTGAAGTTTTATTTGGCACCAATGAGGAGCAGCTGGAAAGGTGGATCAGGGAAAGGCAGGCCAAATAATTCCCATTCAATTGCGAGGAGTGTATTGCGTCTGTACTGAGATCAAAGGTTCTCAAGTTTTTCCCTGGTTTAATGTTAATTTTGCTTCATTTTATTTGTGTAAGCACACATGCTATGTATTCTTGATAAAAAGATTCCATAATAGTGCCCTGCACAATGAATAGTTGCTTATTTGAGTACTTCAATATGAAGAAAATTCTGTGTTCTTTTGTTTCTAGTTCTGCTATTGTTAATGCATTGACTTTCTTTTTGCTATATTTGCCGTGAAATTTACCCTTGCCCACGTGGAGTAAAATTTTCCTTAGGTGTTGAAGTTTGGGCCCCCGTGTTGATACCTTATCTGATTTATCCTGCATTTTTGCTGATTTGTGAATGTTGCAAGGCATTATTTCAGGGAATGCTTGTATTATTTGGCATGTTGTATGTTTTTGTAACGGCAGTGAAGACGTGGGCTCAAGTTATTCATTGCTTTATTTTTCACCAGTTGATTGGTCCATAGCAGCAGAATACAAGTGCATTCTGTCGTTTGTCATAGTTGTTTACCAACTAATCAATCTATAGTAATGGATTGCTCAGGGCCCTGATTATTTGTGTATCGACAAAATAGAAGCCGTCAATCTCATTAAGAATCATGTCAATCCCACTATCAGCTCTTTATATCTCAACCCATTGTTTTTTCCTTTCTGAAAACTACTCTGGTTCTGTCATTTCGAGATATAGTCAATTTGCAGCATGGACATGGTTAAGGCTTTACCTAGATAAATGCCCTCATTAACAGTCATTGTCAGTGTCACTGTCTGGTTTTTGCATCTCTAACTGAAATTTTCCATCTGAATGTCTATATGTTTGTTTAGTCTAATATGTTAGGGCAGATATTACCCAATGAAATATGGAGGTTCAACTCCTGATGTCAGATTTCAGCCAGGTCCCATTAGAATCTGAAATGATGCAGGATAGGAGTCCTATTAGTAGGGCCCTAAAATTTAACATAGACAGTTTCTCATGTTGTCCAATGAATCGAAGTAAGGTTTAAATGTGTAGCTTGCAACTCTTATGTTATTGATAGAGTTTCCTATCAAAAAAGTTGTTATTGATAGAGTTGTGCCTAAGGGTTGATTTGTCCGAGTCCATTTAGGTTCCATGACCTCTATGTTCAGCGTCTAGATAGCCTAGATGTTAGTTTTCTGGAAGTGATATAGTAATTCTTCTTTTCTCAGTTCATTGTTGCGAGTTGGTCAGTTTCCGGGAGATCATGGTGGATCACCCACCAAAAAGGAAACAAATATTGTAGTGGCTTAAACGGAGAGAGAGATGTCTTACCTGTTCAGTCATATGCTTGAAACAAAGGGAAGTCAGCTGAACAGCTTAAGGCTGGTATATTTTGAAAAACTCTCTCATCTACATGTGACTGCAGTTTTATTCTGTTAAACTAACTTTTATTTTTCTCTGTTTTTCATTTTTTACCATGCAGAAAACTGGCATTAGTTTTTCAGGGGGTATTGCAAATTTATTTACCCCTCTTGGTGGCACAGTTAAAGCCTTGAAATCAGTTTGAGTTTGCAGAAAGAATGGCATTTTGCTAGCTCTTGGTATCAATGGATGGTTGTTAAAAGCTTGGAAAGCCCGGGAGAAAACAACTAATGTTTACACAACAAAGGAATCATGACGGGCAGCGGGCTTTGATACCCGAGGATTTGTTGATATTCTCTCTCATTTCTTCCCATGATCATATGAGCTCTCCACTCCCATTTCTAGTCAGACAGGGTGATCAATCAAGGTGGAGCTGGTGGAGACAATATCCTGAATTGCTTCATATCCATTTGAAGAATAATACAACGCATGGTTTGAATCAGAAAATAGTACCCGTGTTCGGACAAAGTCAACTAGAAGAAGTGAGTTCTTTTTTTCTCGGAGCCATTGTACCCTTTCTTTATTTCTCAATTGGGGCTGTGTATCTTCTATAGTAATTGGTTCATGAGGAATAGATGCATTGGGGATTTGCTAAATAGGGAAGATTGATCTTTGTCTGAATTCCTTTATTTTCCTTAAAGACAGAGACAGGCAATAAAGTTATTCTTATGTTTGACTTTATTTTCATGAATGTCTCTGTTCGTATGTTTCTTCAAAATTGTTCCCAGTACCTTTGAGCCACAAAATAGCCGTCTTAACTAACTATACTTATTAAAGACGGATAGTCCAGATGTGTAGAGTGAATTTTGGGCCGTGTCATAAATTTGGACTAATCGAGAGGACGAATGTATCAAATTAGGACGGAAAGTCAGGAGATGTAGAGGGAATTTTGGACGATTGTAAATTTGGATGTGTCTTCTTCATAGTGACATGCAAATTTTACCAATAGGTGTGATTTATGGGTAATTGTAGGTATTTATAAATTTTGCGCCATTGGAAAAAAAAAAACAAAACAAATAGACTCCAAAGAAAATGTGCTAGTTGCCAATGAGAACTTTGACTAGGAAACTGAAAACAAAGTTGTTTAAACGCCTGGTTGGCCCAAATCCCATCAGCAAAACAGAGAAAATCAAACTTAGCAATGATTTTTGGTGGAAAAAATGAGCACTTTTGAACTCCTAATGGGTAAAAAAAAAAAGGAATCAAAGTAAACAACATAATAATTGTGTGTTTGAGCCTTTGTGTTTTCTTCTTTGTTTCCTATACATGTGAAAGTGCTCTTTGATCGAAATATACTTGCCACTAAAGTCAAAAAGTGTCAAGAACATCCCAACATGCTCCTTCATGTGGGAATAAAGAAAGAAAGAGGTAAAGAAGGAACGAAAACAATAAAAAGAGGCTCGTTGCCCCATGGCAATGCTAAGTTCCTCCATTAGCCTCAACATGTAAGCTGAAAACTGAATCCATTGACTACTAAAGCATTTGTATAGATGTAAACCAACATTTTGTTAGGATGTTCTTATGCTGAAACATCAAAGTCAAATCAAGCACTTTCTAGACAACTCAAATGACGTTCCAAAAGAATGCACCGACGCAATTTCCTCTAGCCGATCAAGGCTCTTGTTGAGAGATCTATTCGTGATTGGGCCACCCCTTCTGGCAAAAAGAAGAAAGACAGGTTCAAGCAATTGATCCAAAAGGATCTCCTTCCCTTCCAAGTTGCTATGGGCTTGACCAAAACTTCAAAACTGTAGGCTGTGATACATTTTCTGAAAAATCCAAGAAACCGAAGTGTATTGGAAAAGAATGGATGCCAAAATCAGGATACAAGATAAACATTCTGATCTGGACTCATTGCAGGAATATTAGATTCTTTCTACCCTCGATCAATCAAAAACGACAACCAAAGTACTGACTTTTCACATCTTTAGGACTTCCAATGATACGACTCCTACCATTACGTGTTTTCTGTAAATCCACGTAATTAACATCTTTCACCTTCTTGTCATCACTGTCAACTTGATGTAGGGATGACCTAATCTCCATGCTCATCCGTCTAGGGATGGACACATTGAAGTAGTAGCTCAGTATATTTCTTTTGCACTTGCAGGGGAAGCATTTCAAGGCATGCTTCAAAAAATTCTTACCTTTTGATGGTGGACTCACTTTCACAAGAGAATCGAAACTTTGTTGTTCCTTCAATGTCCATGACTTTGAAACTTCTTCTCCCATCTCATCGAACTTCCAACTGAAAAAAGTAGGACCAAGATCATATTGCAGAAGGAGCCTCTGCTCAAGAATGTGGATTCTTGAACAATCAGTTGATCCAGGAGAGACACATGAGCAAGAGTCAGGTCTCCCTTTTCCAACTGCTTTTCCAGTTGATTCTTTATTTGTGTCTTCATTGGGCCAAACCCGGGTGCCCAACCACCTCAAAGTTTCAGAATCACAATACTCACCCCTAAGAATTCCCTTGTTAACAGGACCAATCCAGTCAGGAACATCAGCCTGGAAGTGTGGCCCAACTGGAATAACCGTTCTTTGGAGGTGATCACCAATGAAGTTCAGCAACCTGGGTGATCGCCTAGGGGTGTGAAGAAATGTTTGGTTTGATTCTTCCAAATTTGAGCTTGAACCATGAATGGAGTCACCCAAATCCGGTAAGGGTGGATCCCGGACGGTCAGGTTTTCTGAACTCGGAGAATTTGAACCATTAACAGATTCATCAGAATCAACCAAGGGAGAAACATCCTTGTTCAGGGGACTCCTGTCTGTTGCATAATCCATAACGGAGAATTCAGCAGATAGCTTTTTCCATCGACAATCATCCTCAAATGTCAATATGCTGCACGAACTATGTGAGCTCAAGAGAGTTTTCTGCTCTAAACTTTCAGTGGAGTCAACTGAATCCAGCAAGGATGAAACCGAAGAGGCATGAGATAACTGCCCTCTGCTCAATTCTGTGGCATTTTGTTGGTTACATACCTCTGAAGCCAATAAAGGGGCAGCTCTGAACTTATTATTTAGAAACTGCTGCAATTTCCGTTTTCTCTGGAAAAAATAGTTACAGAGGGGTTGTCCCTTTCAAAATAACCCGAGTAAAAATAACTGAAGATTCATGTTTAAGCGATGACATCTGCAATGAATATTCCTTCAACGTACAATAACTCACCTTCAATTTAGAAACTTAATGCCCAAGAACAAGAGAGTTTCTAGTGGTTGTCAAGTTACATATATCTCACTGTAGGGTAGGTAAGTGATGTTCTATTAATTGAAATATTCCGTCGACAGAACTAGTAAAAGATCTAAGATAGAAACAGATTACTTTGTCATATCCTATTCTATTGCAAGGAACCAGACCGAAAAAAAAGTTACCTAAACATCTGAGTAGGCCTAGAAAATAGTCTTAGAATTGAATTGGACTAAGTAATGTATCTTGAGACTAGTTTGATAACCATGTTGAGTTCAATAAAACTAGAGATTTTTCTTGCTTGATGCACCCATCCAAGGTTGAATGCAGTAGGACTCAGATTTCTTTTTCTTCTTCTTGTTCTTCTTCTGTTCTTCTGTTTTTGTACTTTTTTTTGGGCTGCTGTCCACAACATCAAAACAGTTCCTTATTTCAAATCCAAATTTAGCCAAGTGCCCAAACTCTGCTAGGTCCTAATCAACCAAAACCACATGGCTTACCAATTAGATTTTGCTTTAATGCCAAAAGTTTCAAAGGAAAACTTACTCTATAAGTATCCAGTAATCCATAAACTGAAATTTCAGCAACCTAAGGCATTAGTAGCCAAGTCGAAGCCAGCCACTTTTCATCGACTCACCGTACAAACATATTATATTCTTTAAAATCTGAACATACAAGCTTCCCATATCCTCAACCGACCAAAAAACTACTCATACACAGCATTACATGGAGTTTTCCACTTCTGTTATAAACAATAATTATAAACTGCCAGAGTCTCTGTGCCCTCTTCAATGGTAGAATAAAACTCATATTTATCAGTATACATCAACAATTTATAACTACTCTCATATGTAAGTTTTTTACCTTTCAAATAACGACGGCGTTACAACACCTCTTAACTCCCAAGACATGCATTTGCAACTAGCTTCTAAGTTCCAAGTTGTTCAAATGGTTCATAACAAAGTCCCAGAGTTCTTCACTAGGATTATAGTTTACTTTGGACATAGGTTCCACAGAGCATGTACAACTAAGTTATGGTCCTTACGGATGTAGTTAGGCAAATACAGGAGCACAACATTTGGGTGCAGCTTAATCTCATTCCTTGACAAGCATCAGATCAGTAGCACAAAACAGGTGTAGTGGCAGTACTTCAATCCCCAAATTCATTTTTTTTTTCCTAAATAAGTCAGTTTTGTAGTTTCTCGGTGTTCAACATCCGAAAAGATAGTACGCTAACCAACAAGCGTAGTTGGCAACCATTGATTCTCTCAAGACTATCAACAAGATGTCAAATAATCAATCCTTGCCAAAGGGAGATTCTACGTGCCCTGTTAGCTTCTCTGTATGCTTTCTCATCTGCTATAGATGCACTATTCAAGAATGTTTTATAGCTGATTATTCGTTGATATACCGATGTATATCGAGAAAAAGAAGAAATATGGTTAATGCAAAGAACTGATGTTGCATCACAAAGAACAAAAAAGGAACCCTATAAATGGTCCCATGTAAAGCATAATGGCAATGCACAAAATGTATAGCCAACAGACAATCCTCAAACATCAGATAGCAGGTGGTCGTGTTGATTTGTGGACCAGCATACTAAACATGTATTGAACACATGCCCTAAACAATTACCACTTAACCAACACAACATTTCCAAAAATTAGAGAAGATGCTTGAAAGTTTGAAACATAAATATGAATAAGACTTTACCCGGGGAAATGCAGTATCACATAAGGCCATTACTTTTCTCACTCTAAGAGTCTGATTCCACAATGGTCGAATTTTAGCCCATGATACTTCTGAATTACAAGGATCAACAGCAAAATTTTTTAGCTGAGACAACATTTCTGCATCAGAATATCTTCCAAAAATAGATTTCTGTTGCACCATATTGCCGCCTTTGGGTGAAGAACCTTTGTCATTTTTCTCCTCCTTTCCAACCCATGATTCAGCCATCTTCATTTGCACAACCCAGCAATTTTATAACCGTTTCTCTTCCAAATTTAAACCCTGAAATCAGAATCAACAAGCTCATTAGACTTCTCTGCCGCAACCCAACCCAGATCATATACTAATTATAGGCTGCTAGTTTAGTCAATGATGGAGATATTCATCAGATAACAATTGAAAAGAACAGTAGTACCAAAATTCAAGCAGTCTACATATCTTCACAGGGTTTCAACAATGTCAAATTGGGATAGTTCAACTCATGCCAATCAAACAAACCCAGTGACATTGAATGGAGTCATAAACTTCAGTTGTGTTACTGATAAGCATAGCTTTAGTAATTTAAGAACACCGAGTCATCGCCATTGTCCCAGCATTAAGAGTCTATTACCAAGTCATGTCTGCTTCAGCAATTAAACCAATTTAAGCATTTGCTCTTTCCGTCACACACACTATGACACAATTCGTTAGACACGAATCAACAAACAAATCGGATATAAGTGGAGTAATTTTAACACGAAGTCGCAAAAATTCGACACGTTTGACAGACCTAGGTACAACTCACGAGTATCAACCCACATTTGGGGAGTACTCGGCAATAGTACCAAATCGAGCCATTGAAAACCTCCTACTTGTTCTGTTATGTTATACAGTCATACATCAAATTTGTGTCCGTGAGAGAGAGANTAGAATAAAACTCATATTTATCAGTATACATCAACAATTTATAACTACTCTCATATGTAAGTTTTTTACCTTTCAAATAACGACGGCGTTACAACACCTCTTAACTCCCAAGACATGCATTTGCAACTAGCTTCTAAGTTCCAAGTTGTTCAAATGGTTCATAACAAAGTCCCAGAGTTCTTCACTAGGATTATAGTTTACTTTGGACATAGGTTCCACAGAGCATGTACAACTAAGTTATGGTCCTTACGGATGTAGTTAGGCAAATACAGGAGCACAACATTTGGGTGCAGCTTAATCTCATTCCTTGACAAGCATCAGATCAGTAGCACAAAACAGGTGTAGTGGCAGTACTTCAATCCCCAAATTCATTTTTTTTTTCCTAAATAAGTCAGTTTTGTAGTTTCTCGGTGTTCAACATCCGAAAAGATAGTACGGNGTAGCACAAAACAGGTGTAGTGGCAGTACTTCAATCCCCAAATTCATTTTTTTTTTCTAAATAAGTCAGTTTTGTAGTTTCTCGGTGTTCAACATCCGAAAAGATAGTACGCTAACCAACAAGCGTAGTTGGCAACCATTGATTCTCTCAAGACTATCAACAAGATGTCAAATAATCAATCCTTGCCAAAGGGAGATTCTACGTGCCCTGTTAGCTTCTCTGTATGCTTTCTCATCTGCTATAGATGCACTATTCAAGAATGTTTTATAGCTGATTATTCGTTGATATACCGATGTATATCGAGAAAAAGAAGAAATATGGTTAATGCAAAGAACTGATGTTGCATCACAAAGAACAAAAAAGGAACCCTATAAATGGTCCCATGTAAAGCATAATGGCAATGCACAAAATGTATAGCCAACAGACAATCCTCAAACATCAGATAGCAGGTGGTCGTGTTGATTTGTGGACCAGCATACTAAACATGTATTGAACACATGCCCTAAACAATTACCACTTAACCAACACAACATTTCCAAAAATTAGAGAAGATGCTTGAAAGTTTGAAACATAAATATGAATAAGACTTTACCCGGGGAAATGCAGTATCACATAAGGCCATTACTTTTCTCACTCTAAGAGTCTGATTCCACAATGGTCGAATTTTAGCCCATGATACTTCTGAATTACAAGGATCAAGAGCAAAACTTTTTAGCTGAGACAACATTTCTGCATCAGAATATCTTCCAAAAATAGATTTCTGTTGCACCATATTGCCGCCTTTGGGTGAAGAACCTTTGTCATTTTTCTCCTCCTTTCCAACCCATGATTCAGCCATCTTCATTTGCACAACCCAGCAATTTTATAACCGTTTCTCTTCCAAATTTAAACCCTGAAATCAGAATCAACAAGCTCATTAGACTTCTCTGCCGCAACCCAACCCAGATCATATACTAATTATAGGCTGCTAGTTTAGTCAATGATGGAGATATTCATCAGATAACAATTGAAAAGAACAGTAGTACCAAAATTCAAGCAGTCTACATATCTTCACAGGGTTTCAACAATGTCAAATTGGGATAGTTCAACTCATGCCAATCAAACAAACCCAGTGACATTGAATGGAGTCATAAACTTCAGTTGTGTTACTGATAAGCATAGCTTTAGTAATTTAAGAACACCGAGTCATCGCCATTGTCCCAGCATTAAGAGTCTATTACCAAGTCATGTCTGCTTCAGCAATTAAACCAATTTAAGCATTTGCTCTTTCCGTCACACACACTATGACACAATTCGTTAGACACGAATCAACAAACAAATCGGATATAAGTGGAGTAATTTTAACACGAAGTCGCAAAAATTCGACACGTTTGACAGACCTAGGTACAACTCACGAGTATCAACCCACATTTGGGGAGTACTCGGCAATAGTACCAAATCGAGCCATTGAAAACCTCCTACTTGTTCTGTTATGTTATACAGTCATACATCAAATTTGTGTCCGTGAGAGAGAGAGAGAGAGAGAGAGAGAGAGAGAACAGAGTAGAAAGTTATTTCATGGTGATGAGAGATGTATCTAACGATGGGAAGAGGATGACAAGCTTCCTTCAGTTGCTTTCTCTACCTGTGCTGTAAAAAACATTTAATTCCTCGTTTCAAGATTTATTCGAATTTAATACAATTTGAAATTCTAGATCTCAAAAAAGAAGACTAATGTCCGTACGATATAAAAGTATGAGATGGATCTTATTTGTCCATATATCTTATGTATATATTAATTTTATATAAAAATATAATAATAAAATATGTATATATATTTTAAAAAATTTTAAATTTAAAAAAAATATTTTTTCCGTCTTAACTGAGGGTGAAAATTTTAGATTCAACACGATAATACGACTCGAACTCGATACGAAAATAAATAGGTCAATTCACAATTCGACATGACACAATTAGTTAAATGAATTAAGTTAAGTTTGACTAATATTTGACACAAACTTGTAATTAGTTAACACAAATCTGACACGACACGACNAAATGAATTAAGTTAAGTTTGACTAATATTCGACACAAACTTGTAATTAGTGAACACAAATCTGACACGACACGATTTGACTCGATTGTCATCCCTAATCTTAATCAGCACAAAAAAAAAATAAAAAATAATAATTATTTTTATTTTCCATCCATCTAACCAAATACAAAAGAAGGAAAATGTATCTTTCCTACTTTCCATCCTCCCCACCAAACATAGCATAAAGGTTACCTTGTAATTATTTAGTCTCTATCGATGTCCATTCGAATTGATAGCTTGCGAGATAATGTATGTTATATACAATTTACCTCTTCCATGAGGTTTTTTATAGAGCTCTTAGTTTTGGTGATCGTAATTATCTCATAATTACATAATGACTTTATTATTAATTATTAAATATAATTAAGTTCATAATTAATTCTTAATTAGATTTTCACCACCAATTAACTCTTAATTAGTTTTCTCACATTTATCCTTTAATTTTCAATAAACTCTATTGTATTTGATCCTATAAGTTCAAGTATATCTAGTAATATACATTCAATACTAACTTCAAGTAGCATCTCAAATTAGAGTAAGACTCCTAATGATCAATTAGAAACTAAGACTCCTAATGATCAATTAGAAACTATTTTCTAATTGTCATTGTGCCTTAGTCAAGGACTTATTGAATCACATCCTAGAATATCATATAAGACATTCTCCATTTTTTTTAAGGGTAATAAATTCCATGTTGTACACTTATAAGTATTGATGCATGTTTAACTATATTCAACAGTATAGATTCAAGTTACATGATTGGTATATGAATATGTTGTATGGTTAAAACATATAAGTCTATGTATAAGACAATCATGATATTTCAGGTCTAATAATCAGTTGCATACCTGTATTTTAGTATTTAACATTGACAGGTATGAAAAACTCCATATAAAAAATCTTATGTTAATCAATAGTCATGTTCAGTGTACTTGTTCTCTAACAAGTACCCACACATTTGCTTCAATATCCTTCCACTAGTGACTTGAATGAGTTATCTCTTATCAAATATGAGCACGTATAATGTATGCTAGTCTAGCTGGATTATATAGTGCCCACATAGTAATTCTATAGTTATGAACATTTAAGAGTTAAGTACTAAAAAATATATGTCTCATCTTTTCAACACCTTGAAAAAATTATTCTCTAAACTTATACTCTATAAACTTTATCATGTATGTTAAAATGACATAAACTAGTGGCATGATAAGTAAACTTGTTCTTTTATTTAATTAAGTAATTAATGTTGCTAGTACGATTTCAAAATGTCATATATATGATTGGTTTTAGGGCATACTACTAACAGAGATACCCATCTAACAATGGGGAGAGGCAGACAAGCTTCCTTCAATTGCTCCTTCTACTTGAGATGAGAGAGAGAGAGAGAGAGACAGAGAGTATTTAGATGGCGTGGTGCNGCTCCTTCTACTTGAGATGAGAGAGAGAGAGAGAGAGAGAGAGAGAGAGAGAGAGTATTTAGATGGTGTGGTGTGGTGGTGGTGGCAGTGGTCTACTTTATTTGTTTGCCATGAGTTTATCGAACTATTATAGCAAGTGAGTCTAGTAATTAAGGGCGGTCATTTGATTACCTATGATACTGAAATTAATAGGTCAAAAATAGGTTTGTGTTGCAAGTATTGATCGATTTGTTCTACATAGGAATGGGGCGAAGGCTCAAAACCATTTCTTTTATTCATCAACAAAATTATTCGAATTGGGGTCTCTAATTTTGAGATTAAATTCAAATTTAAGTTGAACTAAATAAATTGTTGGGTATTACATTTATAAGAATCCCACTTTAATAGATAAATAAGTGAAATTTTTTCAATACACCACGAATGGTCTTAATACTTATAAACTTAACTTTATAGGTGGGTTTGAGTTTCATATATGTATATTGCACTTCCTGTCACTGGTATCAACTAACCTCTCCCAATAACGGGTATCAAAACCAATAACTGACGATTATGGATGAACTCTTGAAAGAAACGGAGTAGCATGCTAGAGGCTTGTAAAAACAGTATTGACCTCTTAGTATTGAAGTCATGAAAACACAGTTCTTGATAAGAATAGGGTATGAGCCCTCTAGTCGCAAAGGTTCTTGTAAAGAGTGGTTGGACATAGTGCTTGTAGAGAGTAATGGATCAGATTCAAAGGTCGTTAAATCCGATGTAGTTCACACATGGAGGAGTGATTGTTGGATACTATGTGTGAAAATTTCATATCAAATAAATAAAAAAGTAAAAGTGTTCTAATATAATATAGATGAACTAGATCATTATATATAGACTTAAGCTTTTAGGTAGGTATAAGTATCAAACATGTATATTGGACCTTGTATCATTAGTCTTCCTTCTCCCAACAAAATTTGAATTCCAATGAAATGAAACCCAAATTTGAACCAATTTTAAAACTTCATAAGAAATAACAATGAGAAAAGTAAAAAAATTAGTAATTGACAACCCAAACTTGTATGTACATTGATAGCAAAAGAAATCTAATCACTAGTACTTAAGAAGAGAGATCAAACCTGGAAAAGAGTTATTGTAGAATAAGTTGAGGGGGCAAAATTCTTCTCTACTCTAATTGCAGAGAGTTTCAAGTAGACTAGCCTGAAATTTATAGAATCTGTCTAATGCCCTAAAACTTATAGGAGTCCTTGATCTTAAACCAACTTGTAGGAATTGATGGGGTTGATAAGGATCAACACTGGCTTTCTAGACAAGCATGTCTCTCAACAATTTACATGGGGAATGATTTATTTGAAAAATTTTAAAAGACAATTGAAATTAGAAAGAAGAAAAGGATTTAATGTTATACATATATACAAAAGGAGATTGATAATTTTCAACAAGAAAATATTAAAGTCTATATAGAAAGTGTGAAAAACATGGCACTTTGCCAAATTATAATCGTGATAGCCTACTTCATCGGTTATATTATTAGTTTATACTGAGATTTCATCCACTATTATGTTTTTGATTTTTCTTCCTGGTGATCACCTACAACTGATTTAAGAGGGACCCATTACATATAAGTATAAGTACACTCACTAATAGTATATAGTTTGCTAAAAAAGGAAAATAGAGGAAGAAAGAATTGGAGGGGATTTAAACCATAGGTATAATATAGAAACTCAACATTTAATTAATCTAATTTGGTACGTATTATATGTTTCTTGATTTTGAATCATCTACCGTGAAACTCAGAAGTACTCAACATAATTAAACGAGTCTTTTACGGATACATAATGAAAAATATAGGATTTAGTTAGTTATATTTTTTTGGTGACTGCGACCACCAAAAGAAAGGATTGCATTTTGACTCAAATATCATAAGATGTAGAGTATGATAGTGGCGGCGACTCATGCGATGCACAGCGAAAAACATAACGCATAGTTTGCTAGGATGTTTTTAAAAAAAATTAAACAAAAAAGTAATTTTGCTAAAAAAGTAAAAGTAGATTTGATTACTATTTTGCAAAAATAAAATGGATCTTGGTGTATATTGTGCATTAAATGATTTACTATACAATGTGTAATGAGCTTTGTATCACTGGACTTCATGTTTGTCGATAATTGGTATGAGAATTGATTACTGACATTAATAGGTGAACTCTCAAAAGAAATAGCATAGTGTGTGTTGATGGCTCGTAAAAACAAAGTTTGGTTGCTGCTCCAATGTGCCCCTTTTCGAGAATCAAGTTTCCAACAATACTGATTTGGATATAATTTGCTGATTTAATGCATCAATTGATAGCAGCAAATCTTAACCAACAATACTGTTTAGTGTTAATCCACTAGCATTACTCTAATTTCTATAGCCTAGACTTAGTTCTATTATGGAGTTAAGTTCTCAACTCATTTTTTTATTATTATTGTATATTTAGTTATCGATAGACATAAGAATCATGAGATACACTTTTGTGTATTACTTAAAGCGTTATGTATGTNGCACCTCCCACATTTGCTTAGAATTTTAGAGTATATATAGATGCCAAGCCATGCCCAACCAAGTTAGTTTTACACTCTGAGAGATGCGCTAACCGGCTATCCAAGCTGAAGAATGGTAAAAATCCTCAGGTACACAGAATTTCCCAGGCCCATTCTCCACAATCTCATGCCAGTGCCTTTTTAGAACACGAAATTGCCAAGTTGTTTCTAACACATATTTCAGTATCTAGAAGTGAAGAATCATCTTTGTCGGCAATAGCAGACGAGAAATCGTTACAGCAACAACATGCAAGTGAGAAATGTCTAAAAAAATTTCCTGAATACTATGCTTCGACTTCCAAGTAGATTGAAATAACTTAAACAAGAGTTCATAAACTATGCATCTAATTAGTGNCTTTTTTTTTTTTCCAGTTGATGTTATTAAACTTTAGGCCACCCTTTGGGTAATCTACTGGGTGTCGTAACTAATAGAGTAATCCTACAAGCATGTGTAGAAGCATATGTACATACATGCTCGTAATGAATGGCGTTATCTTATTACAAATGCCTCCCTCCTTCAAGGTGGGATTAACCATATCGGATAGACCCTCGAGTTCTCAACTCTCACTCTTCCCCTGCTTTGTTAATTTGAATAGCCTGGACTAACTGCTATGATGGAGTTCTCAAAAAGGAAACTCACCTACTACATCTTAATCTTGTCTAACCCTAATTGAAAGCTATAGAAATGGAAATATAAGAACTTAAAATTTCTGTACAAAAATGCACTAGTAAACCTTGATAATGCAACAGTCTCAGATCTTTCTCCTGTTTCAAAAAAAAAAAAAAAAACTTCATGATTCTTTTTCTTCCTCAGTTTTCACCTGTAGTGTTTTTTCTGTTTCTGAAATCATCTTCTGTTCGTAGGTGATTTGAGACAGCAAACCCACCAAAATCACTGCAAGAACAGCAACTTTTCGCCAATCGGGCGATGAAGAGATCAAGGAATCAACAATCCCAATAGCCACCAACCCAATTAGTGCAAGGTAAATGTTTCTCCTAGTTAAGGAACCAGCATACTCTTTGGTAATTTCTCTAATCTTCTTCATCTCCTCCTTAGTTTTTGTTTTGTCAATAGGTGTACTTCTCCCCAAGTTTTTGAAGAACAACCCTTCATTTCTGTCATTCTCAATTTGACCCTCAAAATCTTCTACTAACTTTTCGTTCTTCTCAACCTCCTCTTTGTTCAACTCTACTGATTCTTCAAATGCTTGCATTCTGCTCTCTATATTCTCCATTATCTGCTCATAGAAAAATGAAATGAATAAATTGGGTTAGGATTGACCAAAACTCTCGACTCGACATGTATCCAAAATAACACGATCAGAATTTTTTTTTTCTTCAAAAACATATTTTTTGTGACGGTGAACAGGATTGCCACAAAAAATTTGTCTAAAAAAGGCTCTAATTCTTGTAGTGTGGATTGGATGGAGAAAGAGTTGAACAGACCCTGGCAGCGGTTTCATCGAGTTCTTTGAGGGCGTTTTCGCCTATCTGATCGATCTCAGCATTGGCTTCTTCAGCGAACTGGGTTAAGTAGTCGGATCGCTCGTCTAAGTAATCGGTGAGTCGAACTTTTTGTGTTTGAAGCATTGCAATTTTGGCAAGCAATTCCTGCTTTCGAGTGTCTCCTTCAGGTGGTGGGGCTTCTGAATCCGATTCATTGGCTTTGCAGAGGGTAAGGTTGGAGGAGTTTCTCTTGGAGTTTACTCTTCTGGAGAAGAAGAAGGCATGCTTGGTGGGAGTGAAAGGAGTTTGAATTGCTTTGAGGAAGGAAATCATCTGTTCGATTTGGAGAGAGAGAGAGAGAGAGAGGGAGAGTGCAGTGTATCTACTGTAGAATTGTTTTGAACCAATCCTTGGGTATACATTATCCATATGTAGTTGACAAAAAGCGACGAAAATTCGAGTACAAGTACCTCAAATAATTACGGGTCCAACGATGGTGATTTAGTCTTTATGAATATTTTAATTTTAATGGGAATAATATGACTTTAGTCGGAACCCGTAAATATTTGAATATCAGCGTGAATGAGCTACTCTTTAGTCGGAACTTGTAAATATTCGAGTCTCGGCGGGAATGAGCTGCTTTTGATCGAACCGAGTAAATATTCAATGCAATAGTGACACCACTTCATTGTTTGATTACAAAAATTATAAGTGAACAAAATGAACTTCATTATTTTCATAACTATCGTTAATCACCACATCCNAATATTCGAGTCTCGGCGGGAATGAGCTGCTTTTGATCGAACCGAGTAAATATTCAATGCAATAGTGACACCACTTCATCGTTCGATTACAAAAATTATAAGTGAACAAAATGAACTTCATTATTTTCATAACTATCGTTAATCACCACATCCAATCATCAACGCATAGAATTAGTGAAACTAAACTCACTTTATTTACTTGTAATTTTTTTATCGGATGGTGACATCACATGAGGGTGATAACATGATGTCATCATTGCATTGAATATTTTCTTGACCAAATTGAAGNCACATCCAATCATCAACGCATAGAATTAGTGAAACTAAACTCACTTTATTTACTTGTAATTTTTTTATCGGATGGTGACATCACATGAGGGTGATAACATGATGTTATCATTGCATTGAATATTTTCTTGACCAAATCGAAAAGGGGATTAACCGAGATATGTGTAAGTTGGTGTGAACATTCCTGACTGTTAAATAAAAAAAAATATCATTAATAATCCAAGAGACAGACTTTCGAAATATGTCACGTCCACCTAATAACATAGCATATTCATAACATCCACGAGAGCCAGTTGAGCAAATTGAGAAAAATTTAAACAGGAGGTTAAATAATACTAGTCTCGATCAAATTAACAACACTAGACTTATAATCCCAATCCATATTCATNCAGACTTTCGAAATATGTCACGTCCACCTAATAACATAGCATATTCATAACATCCACGAGAGCCAGTTGAGCAAATTGCGAAAAAATTTAAACAGGAGGTTAAATAATACTAGTCTCGATCAAATTAACAACACTAGACTTATAATCCCAATCCATATTCATAGACTTCCATCTTTACGAAACTAGGCAAGAGTAGAGTAAGTACTAAGTAGTGAACACATGCCCTGTTTTAATTGATATTTGTTCACTGCGTCACTGAGGTTTTGCAGTCACCTTCTTGTAAGTGTACCACTTTGCAATCCAAAGGTACACAAAGAAATTAAGCAGGCTGAGGATGGCCAAAAGCCAGTAGAAATAGTCAAGATGGCCCCTGTTCAAGTTATCCGGAATCCATCCAAGCTTCCCATGTCTCGTGGTTATTTTAGTCACAATGGTTACAAGCACAGTGCTCAAGTAGTTCCCCAATGCAACAGTAGTAAGAGAGAGAGCCGAGCACAAGCTTCTCATGGCATCGGGTGCCTGGTCATAGAAGAACTCTAATTGTCCGATGAAAGTGAAGACTTCAGCACATCCAATTAGTATATATTGTGGGACTTGATAGAAGATTGTCATGGGAATATGCTCAAGATCATAGTAGTTATTCTTCCTCACACTGGCAAGTCGAATGACCTCAAAAATCCCGGCAGCAGCCATGGCAAAAATGGAAATGACAAGGCCAATGCCCATGCGTTGGAGCTGAGTGAAGCCTCGTTCGTGGCCAGTGAACTTTCTTGCACAAGGGATGATGATTCTGTCATATATAATCGTCCAGAAGATGACACTGACGGTGTCAAAGAGTGAGAGGGAAGCTGATGGAATTTCGAAATGAGGCCCAATATGCTGGTCCAGAGTGTTGCCTTGAAGGACAAACATGGTGCTCATTTGACCATACACAGTGGCAAAAACTATTCCAGTTGCCCACACAGGGAGCAGGCGGATGATGGACTTGAGCTCCTCGATTTGAGTCACTGTACAGAGTCTCCATGGACTCATAATACCCTTGATTTGATCAGTTTCAATCTCCACAGCAGCCTTGTCAAAAAATCTGCAATTCAACAACACTCTCATTATGCACCTCCCACATTTGCTTAGAATTTTAGAGTATATATAGATGCCAAGCCATGCCCAACCAAGTTAGTTTTACACTCTGAGAGATGCGCTAACCGGCTATCCAAGCTGAAGAATGGTAAAAATCCTCAGGTACACAGAATTTCCCAGGCCCATTCTCCACAATCTCATGCCAGTGCCTTTTTAGAACACGAAATTGCCAAGTTGTTTCTAACACATATTTCAGTATCTAGAAGTGAAGAATCATCTTTGTCGGCAATAGCAGACGAGAAATCGTTACAGCAACAACATGCAAGTGAGAAATGTCTAAAAAAATTTCCTGAATACTATGCTTCGACTTCCAAGTAGATTGAAATAACTTAAACAAGAGTTCATAAACTATGCATCTAATTAGTGAAAAAAATGACAGAAAGATGTAGTAAATAAATATCATCACCGATATACTCCAGTTATTTTGGATTATGAGAAAGCACTATGTTGTGGTGTTGGGTTGACATAGATTAGCTAAGAGCCATTTCTAGTTTATTGAAAGTCAAGAAATTTACCTGAATTTTTCAGTGTGCTCGAGCTTGCGGCTTCCTTGGATGTTACATTCCAGACTAGCAGTCTCATGAAGAAGAGATTTATCAGCAGGGACTTTCACATTAAATTTTCTCATGGATGCAACTAGCACCTGGACAAGCCGTGTCAGGGGGCTCCCTCCAGGTTTCTGGAACCGGTACAAACGGGTGCCTGAGAAGAAAAACACAATTGCAATGGCCATTGCAGCTGCTGGAATTCCAAATCCCCATCCCCAGCCCACATTCATTTGTATCCAGACCAAGACTGATGAAGCAATGAGTGCACCTATATTGATCGAAAGGTAGAACCAATTGAAGAAAGAACTCTTCTTTTTCTTCTCGGTTTCATCAGTTTCATCAAATTGATCAGCACCGAAGGATGAGACACATGGTTTGATTCCACCAGTTCCAAGAGCAATTAAATACAAGGCTAAAAAGCAAACTGCAGTTTGTGATACAGTTGGGTGGCAACCATCCTTATCACACACTGGCTTTAATCCATTGACAGAAGAAGACAATGTCAATAGTGTCATCCCCTGCAATGAGAACAAAACTTTATGAATCTCCGAAGCAAAATTGGACTATTAGACAACAACATAAACAAACTCAATGAAGTAATGGGACTGCTTACAAAAAGAACATGGCTGACTCTGAAGATCATTAAAACACAAATTCTAAAAGTTGTTTGCAATTTTTCTTTTCGCAGACTAGAAAATTTTTACACCAATAAATAAAATTTGAACAGAAGATTTAAATTTGAACAAATAGTGCCTCAGAATGAAAATTTAATCTGACATGAAATCTTTAGGCAATTTGGCATTCAAGATTAAACTTCAATATCAATATCCAACGAAGAACGGAGAGGAGTCTCAAAGCTTAATTAAAATTCCCTCAGTAACTCCATTTTAATCTTTGAAGTATTTAGAAAATGAAGAAGCATTACTTACAAAAACATAGAGGATAGAGAAACCGGCAATTGTCCAGTATCTTCCCAAGTAGGCATCAGCTAAGAAAGCCCCAATCAACGGTGTGATATAGCAGGTTCCTGACCAGTTTGTAACATTGTTTGATGCAGTGACATTTCCCTGGTTGAGGCGAATCTGAAGATAGTTCACCAGATTGGTACTCATGCCATAGTATGCCAACCTCTCACAACATTCAGTCCCTATGAAAGAATTAGTGCTCAAATATTAGTGTCATCACATACTCAGTTATCCAAACTTAGGAGAGGAAAAACTATACCAAGGATGAAGCGGCATGCCTTCCAATTCCCAGTTTCCTTCTTATTAGCAGGATTTTTGTGGATATCAATGGTCCCATCATTCGTATAAATCTCATCTTCTCCCATGGTAGCGGTCCTCAAGGTTTCTTTCGCTTTTCTTTTAATGGTGCACCTATGATATCAAAGCGTGGTGCACCTGTGATATCAAAGCGTGCAAACGACAATTATAAGAACAATATATGACCATTGTCAGTAACACTTCCTTTAAATGTCATTGTGGGAAAGTATAATTCCTGTTTCTCTGCACTATTTTGTAAGAATTGTAAGACCATAGAGTTATACTACTGAAATCCAAAGACTGTTGGGCCTACAAGATAAACACAAACATTACGAACACAATTGACACATATCAGTGTCTATCCACGCCAAAGAACTGATAAACTAGGTGATTCCTATATGAGGAAACCACGCATCAACAAACTAAATATCCGAAGCGTAATTCCTAATTATATATAGAAAATCACAAGATAAGGAAAAGAAATCAAAAGCATAATCCCAAAATTCATTACACACTAGATGTTTTTGAACCAGAAATTGACATACTGATAAAAAAAAAAACCAAAAATTGGCACAACCATTCCCTCCACCTGTTTCAAATCAGCTTTTCGGAAAGTGGTTTGAAAACCATTTGTTTTAAAAAATAAAATAAAATAATTGCCCAAAGGCCCCTCCAAAAAGACTTAAGACATGTATAAGCAGATTAGTGCATATTTTTATATTCTATCCATGACAGTAGAATATATAATCAAAAGCACCTGTGTAATGGGAACAATGAGAAGATATCCACAGATCAAAGAATCCAAAGAACCCAGTTTATATAACAATGGAAAAAAAAAACAATTTTCAATATAAATGTTGATTAATCAGTCGTAATAGCCAATCATTTTGCTATGTCATGTATGCATGTGTATGCTTGTATAATTACAACACAACCTCTGATTAACCTTACGTCCGCAAATTTTAATCCTAACAAAGAATTAATACACCAAAACAGACCCATTGAAGGTTGTAGAACTAAAACCCACCCGAGAAAAACTCTGAAATTACTCACACAATCTATATCCGCAGCATGAATGCATGCAAATCCCACAGAGAGAGAGAGAGAGAGAGAGAGAGACTGCAGAAATTATGGAAGCAATAAAACCATCACTTAACACAGAGAAAATAACAGTACTGCAACATTGGAAAGTTGAGACAAACCTGTGGAATGTAGAAAAGAAAAAAGATATTTGTGGGTGTGGTTTTCTGGCTTTTCGGTTATGGTGGCGGAGGCAGAGTGGTGGAAGAGAAACTGTATGCGAGCAAAACCAGGGCTCAGTGGTCCCGGTTCCTGCTCGTATACAGATTGCAAAGAGAAACAGAGAAGAGAGAGAGAGAGAGAGAACCGCTTGGGGGGTGCGTATGGTCTTGTATATAAAGTTGGTAACTAGGCATATCTCTCCAAACTCCTAGATTTGCTCTAAATTCTAATTAAAGTTTAAACACCGTTATTAGCTGGCACTTCCAATATTCATCACTACACATCCCGAATCCTAATACAACTAAAGATACAAAAGAATTTATTTTTTAAAATTATATGAATATAATTAATGTGCTAATGATGGGTAAAATTGGAATAAATTATTGAATAAAATGGTAATATTATATCATTATCATTACGTATTATCACAATTTAATAATAAAATAACAAATAAACACGTAGAAATTTTCAAATTTTCACCTATCGGAACTATTCCGAATCAATTCACAAATTTTTGGTTGATTTATTGAATAAATTGCAATATTTTGCAAATGATCGCGTAATAATGCAAAATACTTATAAAAATTTTGCATTCTTATTCAACTCTGCATTTATATTTATATATATTTTAAAAATATATATTTGTTATATTTGAACAGTTTAACTGTNAGCACAGTGCTCAAGTAGTTCCCCAATGCAACAGTAGTAAGAGAGAGAGCCGAGCACAAGCTTCTCATGGCATCGGGTGCCTGGTCATAGAAGAACTCTAATTGTCCGATGAAAGTGAAGACTTCAGCACATCCAATTAGTATATATTGTGGGACTTGATAGAAGATTGTCATGGGAATATGCTCAAGATCATAGTAGTTATTCTTCCTCACACTGGCAAGTCGAATGACCTCAAAAATCCCGGCAGCAGCCATGGCGAAAATGGAAATGACAAGGCCAATGCCCATGCGTTGGAGCTGAGTGAAGCCTCGTTCGTGGCCAGTGAACTTTCTTGCACAAGGGATGATGATTCTGTCATATATAATCGTCCAGAAGATGACACTGACGGTGTCAAAGAGTGAGAGGGAAGCTGATGGAATTTCGAAATGAGGCCCAATATGCTGGTCCAGAGTGTTGCCTTGAAGGACAAACATGGTGCTCATTTGACCATACACAGTGGCAAAAACTATTCCAGTTGCCCACACAGGGAGCAGGCGGATGATGGACTTGAGCTCCTCGATTTGAGTCACTGTACAGAGTCTCCATGGACTCATAATACCCTTGATTTGATCAGTTTCAATCTCCACAGCAGCCTTGTCAAAAAATCTGCAATTCAACAACACTCTCATTATGCACCTCCCACATTTGCTTAGAATTTTAGAGTATATATAGATGCCAAGCCATGCCCACCCAAGTTAGTTTTACACTCTGAGAGATGCGCTAACCGGCTATCCAAGCTGAAGAATGGTAAAAGTCCTCAGGTACACAGAATTTCCCAGGCCCATTCTCCACAATCTCATGCCAGTGCCTTTTTAGAACACGAAATTGCCAAGTTGTTTCTAACACATATTTCAGTATCTAGAAGTGAAGAATCATCTTTGTCGGCAATAGCAGACGAGAAATCGTTACAGCAACAACATGCAAGTGAGAAATGTCTAAAAAAATTTCCTGAATACTATGCTTCGACTTCCAAGTAGATTGAAATAACTTAAACAAGAGTTCATAAACTATGCATCTAATTAGTGAAAAAAATGACAGAAAGATGTAGTAAATAAATATCATCACCGATATACTCCAGTTATTTTGGATTATGAGAAAGCACTATGTTGTGGTGTTGGGTTGACATAGATTAGCTAAGAGCCATTTCTAGTTTATTGAAAGTCAAGAAATTTACCTGAATTTTTCAGTGTGCTCGAGCTTGCGGCTTCCTTGGATGTTACATTCCAGACTAGCAGTCTCATGAAGAAGAGATTTATCAGCAGGGACTTTCACATTAAATTTTCTCATGGATGCAACTAGCACCTGGACAAGCCGTGTCAGGGGGCTCCCTCCAGGTTTCTGGAACCGGTACAAACGGGTGCCTGAGAAGAAAAACACAATTGCAATGGCCATTGCAGCTGCTGGAATTCCAAATCCCCATCCCCAGCCCACATTCATTTGTATCCAGACCAAGACTGATGAAGCAATGAGTGCACCTATATTGATCGAAAGGTAGAACCAATTGAAGAAAGAGCTCTTCTTTTTCTTCTCGGTTTCATCAGTTTCATCAAATTGATCAGCACCGAAGGATGAGACACATGGTTTGATTCCACCAGTTCCAAGAGCAATTAAATACAAGGCTAAAAAGCAAACTGCAGTTTGTGATACAGTTGGGTGGCAACCATCCTTATCACATACTGGCTTTAATCCATTGACAGAAGAAGACAATGTCAATAGTGTCATCCCCTGCAATGAGAACAAAACTTTATGAATCTCCGAAGCAAAATTGGACTATTAGACAACAACATAAACAAACTCAATGAAGTAATGGGACTGCTTACAAAAAGAACATGGCTGACTCTGAAGATCATTAAAACACAAATTCTAAAAGTTGTTTGCAATTTTTCTTTTCGCAGACTAGAAAATTTTTACACCAATAAATAAAATTTGAACAGAAGATTTAAATTTGAACAAATAGTGCCTCAGAATGAAAATTTAATCTGACATGAAATCTTTAGGCAATTTGGCATTCAAGATTAAACTTCAATATCAATATCCAACAAAGAACGGAGAGGAGTCTCAAAGCTTAATTAAAATTCCCTCAGTAACTCCATTTTAATCTTTGAAGTATTTAGAAAATGAAGAAGCATTACTTACAAAAACATAGAGGATAGAGAAACCGGCAATTGTCCAGTATCTTCCCAAGTAGGCATCAGCTAAGAAAGCCCCAATCAACGGTGTGATATAGCAGGTTCCTGACCAGTTTGTAACATTGTTTGATGCAGTGACATTTCCCTGGTTGAGGCGAATCTGAAGATAGTTCACCAGATTGGTACTCATGCCATAGTATGCCAACCTCTCACAACATTCAGTCCCTATGAAAGAATTAGTGCTCAAATATTAGTGTCATCACATACTCAGTTATCCAAACTTAGGAGAGGAAAAACTATACCAAGGATGAAGCGGCATGCCTTCCAATTCCCAGTTTCCTTCTTATTAGCAGGATTTTTGTGGATATCAATGGTCCCATCATTCGTATAAATCTCATCTTCTCCCATGGTAGCGGTCCTCAAGGTTTCTTTCGCTTTTCTTTTAATGGTGCACCTATGATATCAAAGCGTGGTGCACCTGTGATATCAAAGCGNTTCTCCCATGGTAGCGGTCCTCAAGGTTTCTTTCGCTTTTCTTTTAATGGTGCACCTGTGATATCAAAGCGTGCAAACGACAATTATAAGAACAATATATGACCATTGTCAGTAACACTTCCTTTAAATGTCATTGTGGGAAAGTATAATTCCTGTTTCTCTGCACTATTTTGTAAGAATTGTAAGACCATAGAGTTATACTACTGAAATCCAAAGACTGTTGGGCCTACAAGATAAACACAAACATTACGAACACAATCGACACATATCAGTGTCTATCCACGCCAAAGAACTGATAAACTAGGTGATTCCTATATGAGGAAACCACGCATCAACAAACTAAATATCCGAAGCGTAATTCCTAATTATATTTAGAAAATCACAAGATAAGGAAAAGAAATCAAAAGCATAATCCCAAAATTCATTACACACTAGATGTTTTTGAACCAGAAATTGACATACTGATAAAAAAAAAAACCAAAAATTGGCACAACCATTCCCTCCACCTGTTTCAAATCAGCTTTTCGGAAAGTGGTTTGAAAACCATTTGTTTTAAAAAATAAAATAAAATAATTGCCCAAAGGCCCCTCCAAAAACACTTAAGACATGTATAAGCAGATTAGTGCATATTTTTATATTCTATCCATGACAGTAGAATATATAATCAAAAGCACCTGTGTAATGGGAACAATGAGAAGATATCCACAGATCAAAGAATCCAAAGAACCCAGTTTATATAACAATGGAAAAAAAAAACAATTTTCAATATAAATGTTGATTAATCAGTCGTAATAGCCAATCATTTTGCTATGTCATGTATGCATGTGTATGCTTGTATAATTACAACACAACCTCTGATTAACCTTACGTCCGCAAATTTTAATCCTAACAAAGAATTAATACACCAAAACAGACCCATTGAAGGTTGTAGAACTAAAACCCACCCGAGAAAAACTCTGAAATTACTCACACAATCTATATCCGCAGCATGAATGCATGCAAATCCCACAGAGAGAGAGAGAGAGAGAGAGAGAGACTGCAGAAATTATGGAAGCAATAAAACCATCACTTAACACAGAGAAAATAACAGTACTGCAACATTGGAAAGTTGAGACAAACCTGTGGAATGTAGAAAAGAAAAAAGATATTTGTGGGTGTGGTTTTCTGGCTTTTCGGTTATGGTGGCGGAGGCAGAGTGGTGGAAGAGAAACTGTATGCGAGCAAAACCAGGGCTCAGTGGTCCCGGTTCCTGCTCGTATACAGATTGCAAAGAGAAACAGAGAAGAGAGAGAGAGAGAGAGAACCGCTTGGGGGGTGCGTATGGTCTTGTATATAAAGTTGGTAACTTGGCATATCTCTCCAAACTCCTAGATTTGCTCTAAATTCTAATTAAAGTTTAAACACCGTTATTAGCTGGCACTTCCAATATTCATCACTACACATCCCGAATCCTAATACAACTAAAGATACAAAAGAATTTATTTTTTAAAATTATATGAATATAATTAATGTGCTAATGATGGGTAAAATTGGAATAAATTATTGAATAAAATGGTAATATTATATCATTATCATTACGTATTATCACAATTTAATAATAAAATAACAAATAAACACGTAGAAATTTTCAAATTTTCACCTATCGGAACTATTCCGAATCAATTCACAAATTTTTGGTTGATTTATTGAATAAATTGCAATATTTTGCAAATGATCGCGTAATAATGCAAAATACTTATAAAAATTTTGCATTCTTATTCAACTCTGCATTTATATTTATATATATTTTAAAAATATATATTTGTTATATTTGAACAGTTTAACTGTAAAAATAGTCCAAAAATATTTAATTAAAATTTTAAAATGAATAACAAAAAATATAAATATATGATATATTTTGCAACCTTATATCGAATTTTCAGCCAATTTTTATGAACAAAATTCGGTTAAAACATTATCCTCGATCGAATAAGATTGATTATAAATTAGTCTTCTACAACGCATCGACTCCGGTCGTGTGAACAGCCCTATAAAACAAGTGAATCCCTAGGTCTTGAATGCTAGTATACAAAGAATTGTTCAAGCAGTCAAAGGTGGTAGCGAAAGAATGTCGATGGTCAGCAACGTTGTCGGTTGGGATACTGAATCTTTTGCTTTGGTTGAATAATTAATTAATAGAAGTCAAGTCAAAGAGTATCTCTAAAATATAGGTAATAACATAATAAAAAATTAAAAATTAAAAATTTCGGCCATTAAGTTTAGCAAATCGTTAGCACTATTTTTGGGGAACCAGTTGTCACACTGTGTTGAATCTGGGACCTGAGATCCACTCCCCCAAGAAGCTATACCAATCAGAACCAAAGTGGTGGCTATAATTATTCTTTTGAGAAGCAGCATTCCCTTACACCACACCAAGGTCCTCCAAATCCCTTATGTGGTGTGGTTATACCAGTTATATATATACTTACATATCTATCTAGCTTTGGTTATACCTATAGCTGTTTTGAAATGGCAGAAGATTTGTATGACGGAGAGTTTTGGCTCCCTCCTCAGTTCCTCATTGACGACGACATACTCATGGACTTCAAGAAAAGCACTTACAACGCCAAGAAAAGTGAAGGAGACGTGTGGTTTAGCAGAGAAATTGATGGAGGAGCCTACTTTCATAATGATTTCCCAACTGGGTTTGGCTCGTTTTGTCCTAACTCGGATCTGAGTTCACCCGTTGAGTCCGTGGTGGGTTCGACCAAGACTGAGAGTGATGAAGAAGAGTACCTCACTGGTCTAACTAAGAAACTGGCTCGTTTCTACCATTCAAGACGTGTGAAAAGTGTGTTTAATAAACAAGTTATTCACAAAAAAATCGTAAAAAACGTTTTTACGAAACACTCTTTTCTCGGTGCCTACAATTTTTTTCCTCATAAAAGCGGGGTTGTTGAATTCGATTTTTAACAAACACGGATTTGTTGAATCCGTTTTTTAACAAAAATGGAGCCATTGAATCCGCTTTTAAAAAGTGTTGTAATTTGGTAAATAAGTTTAAAAATATCGTATTTTTGTATTAAAGTTTCAAAACAACTTTGTTTTGGTAATAGATTCCACAATTCATATGGTTCTTGTAATAATTTTTTTTTCTTAAATTATAATTTAAATTACTGCTCCTCCAAAATAAAATTGTCAATCCTCACTCCTAATACAAATTTAAAAGATTAACGGGGTAGAATTAAATAATCACATATATATATATATTGTCACACCCTATCCCAAGAGATCCTCTTTGGTTTTTCAGATATGGAAGCGTAACTCAACACGTGGCAATACTTCCNATTGACATACTGATAAAAAAAAAAACCAAAAATTGGCACAACCATTCCCTCCACCTGTTTCAAATCAGCTTTTCGGAAAGTGGTTTGAAAACCATTTGTTTTAAAAAATAAAATAAAATAATTGCCCAAAGGCCCCTCCAAAAAGACTTAAGACATGTATAAGCAGATTAGTGCATATTTTTATATTCTATNTGATAAAAAAAAAAACCAAAAATTGGCACAACCATTCCCTCCACCTGTTTCAAATCAGCTTTTCGGAAAGTGGTTTGAAAACCATTTGTTTTAAAAAATAAAATAAAATAATTGCCCAAAGGCCCCTCCAAAAACACTTAAGACATGTATAAGCAGATTAGTGCATATTTTTATATTCTATCCATGACAGTAGAATATATAATCAAAAGCACCTGTGTAATGGGAACAATGAGAAGATATCCACAGATCAAAGAATCCAAAGAACCCAGTTTATATAACAATGGAAAAAAAAAACAATTTTCAATATAAATGTTGATTAATCAGTCGTAATAGCCAATCATTTTGCTATGTCATGTATGCATGTGTATGCTTGTATAATTACAACACAACCTCTGATTAACCTTACGTCCGCAAATTTTAATCCTAACAAAGAATTAATACACCAAAACAGACCCATTGAAGGTTGTAGAACTAAAACCCACCCGAGAAAAACTCTGAAATTACTCACACAATCTATATCCGCAGCATGAATGCATGCAAATCCCACAGAGAGAGAGAGAGAGAGAGAGAGAGACTGCAGAAATTATGGAAGCAATAAAACCATCACTTAACACAGAGAAAATAACAGTACTGCAACATTGGAAAGTTGAGACAAACCTGTGGAATGTAGAAAAGAAAAAAGATATTTGTGGGTGTGGTTTTCTGGCTTTTCGGTTATGGTGGCGGAGGCAGAGTGGTGGAAGAGAAACTGTATGCGAGCAAAACCAGGGCTCAGTGGTCCCGGTTCCTGCTCGTATACAGATTGCAAAGAGAAACAGAGAAGAGAGAGAGAGAGAGAGAACCGCTTGGGGGGTGCGTATGGTCTTGTATATAAAGTTGGTAACTTGGCATATCTCTCCAAACTCCTAGATTTGCTCTAAATTCTAATTAAAGTTTAAACACCGTTATTAGCTGGCACTTCCAATATTCATCACTACACATCCCGAATCCTAATACAACTAAAGATACAAAAGAATTTATTTTTTAAAATTATATGAATATAATTAATGTGCTAATGATGGGTAAAATTGGAATAAATTATTGAATAAAATGGTAATATTATATCATTATCATTACGTATTATCACAATTTAATAATAAAATAACAAATAAACACGTAGAAATTTTCAAATTTTCACCTATCGGAACTATTCCGAATCAATTCACAAATTTTTGGTTGATTTATTGAATAAATTGCAATATTTTGCAAATGATCGCGTAATAATGCAAAATACTTATAAAAATTTTGCATTCTTATTCAACTCTGCATTTATATTTATATATATTTTAAAAATATATATTTGTTATATTTGAACAGTTTAACTGTAAAAATAGTCCAAAAATATTTAATTAAAAT